TTTTTTTTTTTTTTTTTTTTTTTTTTTTTTGTCTGTCTGTTTTGGTGGTCATACTCAGGATACTAGCCAATAGGTGCATCACTGAGCTCCCCAGTCTTGGTCTTGAAATTCTTCCTCAGCATTCTGAATAGCGGGTTATAGGTGTGTGTCACCACACCAGATTGATTTTGTTTCAGTTGTAGTTAACTTGGATGAGTACTTTGCTCATTTCTTTTAGCTTAGCTTGAAATATATATAGTGATGATATTTTAGGGGTCACAATGAGATAATATTCCGATTGTAAGGCCTTCTCTATGAAGTACTGTCTTTTCTGAGATCTCAATTTCCCTCTCACATTTTAGCTGCAGTAGTCACGCTATTCTTATAACTCTTGTTTTTCATGCTGATTCACCACAGAATTCCTCTTATAAACCCTTCACTGTTGTGAGCACATGACTTCCACAGCCTGTTTGAGCTTCCATGGCTTAGAGAATCTTGCCAAGGCAGAACCAAGTGTCTTCCCTTAGAAAGAGCAAAAACATTCAGATGATCTTTAAAGCAAAGATCATTTGATCCCTCACTTCCAATCCACTGCTTGTGTACTCCTTGGTGTTTGTGTTTTGTTGTATTTACAAGATTTTCTTGTTCCACTTGGCAGACCTTTTATGTCTCTTACTCTTCTCTAGTCCTCTTCCCTAACACTGTATGCAAAGGAGACAAAAGCATTTTTATAAGGAATATTTTCATACAACTTAAACAGAAAGACACATCATGTTTAAGACTCAGTCAAGAGGAAATTCTGAATCTTCAAACATATTCAAAATGACTCTGTCTCATCCCTACCCCTTTTGTCCTTATTACTGGGAATGGCCTGGGAAGAGTTCATTCACTTTATGATCTATAGCACTCAGCACTTGAATTGCCTGTGTGTACCGCGCTAAAGTTCAGGGAAATAGAGTCTGATTTTTGCTCCATTGCTGCAAACTGCAGCTGTTCGTTCCAAGCACAAGAAACTAACAGCAGTGAGATGCTCCTTGGGATGGAATGTGGGCAACAAGCATCCCTTTTTTGAGGGCGTGGAGGGTTAACCGTCTTTACTCTGTGCAACTTCTGGCTCTGGCTGGGGGTCATAGGTAGGGAGTGTTATGTTCCTTCACATCAGGAACATAACACAACCATAACTCAAGCTCATATGGATGTCCCTTCAGAGAATAATCCCCAGCATTGGGCTGATTTTGTGTCTTTGACCCCCCAGAGGGGTCTGGAATCTGACCTGACCAGGTCTGAGGACAGTCCGTGTCTTTTCTTCGTGGTCCCTTATGGACAAGGTCTTTTATAGAATCAAGCTCAGCACACAGAGCACTGAGAGCCTAGGATTCCATTTCATACTTTGATACTCGTGGAACTTCTGGCTCCACCCTTAAAATTAGAATTGTGTGCATAGCCTCAGTTAACATGTGTTCTTCTAGCATCTTCCATGTGCTTTTTTTGTTTGTTTGTTTGTTTGTTTGTTTGATATGAGGATCAAACTCAGGACCTTGCCTTTGTGAGGCAGGAGTGGTACTGCTGAGCTAAATGCCCAACCCTCCCGTGTGCTTTTGATACACACTGGTCCTTAGGGAAAGCAGAGAGAAATTGCCTCACTTCTGTTGTTTAAATACTGCTTCTTTAGTTATCTTCATCCTAATTCATGGTGATAGCACGTAAAATCTTAAGACAATCAATGATCACTTCTGGTACTTACTATATGAAAAATTTTAATTAGCAATTGAAAAGTTTCTGAGTAATTTTATTTAACTATATCATTGAAATTGATTTAAATCTTCTATATTCCAGGACCTTTTTTCTATTATTGCTTATGTTTATGCTCAGAAGCCACAATTGGATATTCATAGTTTTGAAGGAACATTTACCAGGGTAAGTTAAATCTTTTGTTCACTACAAATATATTCATTGCATATATAAGTTAAAGGCAGTAGATCTTTGCTTTGAGATGGTAATGTAATTGGAATAAGTTCACTTAGAAGCTCTGAACTAAAAAGGGAGAAGCTGGAGAATGTTTCAGATTTTTTTTTCATACTGGGGATCTAACCCAGGCCCTTGCACTTGTGAGGCAGGTGTGGTGCCACTGATCTAAATCCCCAGCCTGTATCAGATCTTAAATGTACCCATATCATGTATTATCTCTGTAGATATGCCTAGTACAAGCTTTCTAATTTTTTTTTAGCATATTTACTAATTTTTTTTTTTTTGGTACCAGGAATATAACTCAGGACCTTGCACTTGGGAAGCAGGGGGCAGGACCACTGAGCTAAATCCCTGGCCCTAGCGTATTTACCATTGATTAGATCTGTCTCCCCTAAAATATGAGTCATTTGATACACCTTAACTATTTTGGTTTTGACTTTGGATAATAATAGATCCAGCATGATATCCACATCATTTCTAGAGTTTTAGTATTTAATTGTGCATATGTATGTATATATCTAACTTTTTATTTTGCAATGCTGGGATTGAACCCAGAGCTTTCACACTGTGTACCCCCAGCCCTTATTTTATTTTAAATTTTGATACAGGGTTTCATTAAGTTCCCTAGGCTGGGCTCAAATTTGCAAGCCCTCTGCCTCATCCTCCCATAGTGCTGGGATTATAGGTGTGTGCCACAATACTCATCCTGTATGTATATGTACATTTGTTTATGTGCAGATGTTTATTTTATTCCTCATATTATTTATTGTTATAGAGTCTAAACTTGAAGCTCCTGTCTTCTTCAGTACCAGGATTAGAGGGTTTTAATATTTCTTGTTGTAACAGCTTATAATTGATGCCGTAAATCAGTGATGGTGAACCTGTGGCACATGTGCTGTAGGCTATTTATCATTGAAAGCTCTAGAAGGTTTACCATCAGTGCCATAAATACTTTCTAATAGGAGCTTTTAAATATATGACTATAGCTTGTTGTTGAATGCCAAAAATGTTTTTTAAATGATTTTTTAAATGCTTTTGTTTCACTCTTGGTCTCATGTAAGGTTTGGTGAACAGTTGTTATTGTCTGAGTTTACAGAGTTTCATTATGTGACAGTTAACATGCAAACTATAGTCATGCAAAATGAGGATACCTGTGAGGTTAAGAGTCCATAGGGAGATGGAAATTACTTTGTAGCCACTTGTTCTCATTATGTGCAGCAGACTTACAGGCACAAGATGTGCATAGATGCGTAGGGGAGGAAGGATGTCCTGGTGATAAGGATCATGGAATGAGTTCTGAAATACACTAAGATCTTTTTGTTCATACAAAAATTTCTTGTGAGAAAAGTACATTCTTGTTTGTTTGTTTGGTACCAGGGATCGAACTAGGGTCCTTGCACTTGCGAGGTAGTCGGCAGAACCACTAAGCTAAATCCCTGGCCCTAGAAAAGTACATTCTTAAAAGACCAGTCACATATAAGAAAAAATGTTTCCAGATAGGCACTCTTAGTATAATAAATGAAAAGAAATACTAATCACTGTTAAAGTTTTAGAATCTTTTATTTCTTTCCTTCCCTTCTCCTTTATTTTCTCTACAGTTTTTATTGCTTATATCTTACTAAAAGTTGGATATATTTGGTAGGGAATACAGGAGCACATCAGAAACAGGGTGGAAGCAGCCTGTTCAGAACCATGGAGAGGGTATGTGAGAGAGTGTGCTGCAGTTTGGGGAGGTATGAAAAAGCCATCCAAGAATCTTCAGTTGAAAAGAGAAATAGTTATGTTCATGATTTTAAAAGGTTCTTTTGGACTTCTTAGTTCCTTAGAATAGCAGTGTCCACTTAAATTTATTTATGTCTTCACAGCCTTTCAACAACAGACAGGCCAATAATAGGAGGAGATGAGGTTATCTGTGGCTTATCTATGTCACATAAATTAGGGACAGAAAATACTGTACTCTTCAATTTCCACGGGTGGAGGGGGGTTAATCCAAAATAGCACTGTGAGCTCCAGACCCAGGATAGTGCCAGTGAAAAGGTATTGCCCCCAGGACACTGACGTTGTTGAGGTTTCCTTTCAAAAGAGAAAGGTTTCTTGAAGGGCATCATGAGTCTAGTGTACAGATTTGGTGAATGAAGCTATATGATGGAAAAGGAACTTTGGAAAAAGCACAAGTCAGAATTGACCATTTAGGGAACATATGGGCCAAAGAGGGGAGGGCATCATAAAAGATTAGTGCCTCTAGGAAGTGTGGTGAGGAAGAAAAAGATGAAATTAATCTTTTCTGAAACAAGGCAGTTAGATTCAGAACAGCCACCTTATCCCCACCCTCAAAGGGCAACACTATAATTCATTGAAGGTGTAGAGCTGCACTATAGAGTAGAAAATATTCTTGACCTGACAACAGATTCCAGCTCCAGTCCTTGGAATAGAATCCCCTACAAGGGATCCACATACTGATTAACATATTAAAAAATAAACACTAAGAATTGTAACTTTTCAGTTAGTAAAAGTCTTCCTAAAGGAGGCAAAGAAAAAACTTTTAAGGCTAAGGAATGTTGGAACAATGCAATAGACCTCATTTAAATAGCCAGACAATTGTGGATAAGAAAGAATTCCATAAATCTGGGATTAAAATCTCAAAAATAGAAAATGTTAATGAGTGCTAAGTGCTAAGGAAATTACAGAAGCACATGAACATCTCAGAAATGAAGACTGTGTGACAGAATGCCCGGGGCATGGCATGGGAGGAAGATAGATGCATGTACAGTAAGTATTGTAATGGAAAAAAAATAAGATGAAAGATGAGAAAAGGATCAGAAAGTGATGGGTTTTGAAAACCAGCCAAAAAAGATCATTAGTCTTAAAACAATTTTGAAATATTACCACTTGATAAATAATATCAAATATAAGAATATATTAATCTATGTAATTTATAGGGCCCCGAGAATACATCAGTTTATATAGCTACGCTATATTTGACATGTAAGAATGAAAAAATCCTTTGGTCTTCCAACCAGCTAAGCCACCTCATTTCTACTGGGAGAAAATAAGGTAAACTCTAACCTCAGCCTACAAAGCAAGGTGAGAACAGAGCAGAATGTTCAAGGGAAGACATTGCAAGCCAAAGATTATCCTCCATTCTATTTTTCTTTCCAGGATCAGGGCTATGAAGAGCCAAATTTAAACTTGCAGAATACAAGGGATATGTCACTTACAATACAAGCCTTTTAGCTTTACCCAGTCAATAGATAAAATGGAGACTTTGGGGGAGATTTTATGGTGAACACTGAGGGTACTAATATATCTAAGAATAAAGCAAAAGTAGGAATAGGAGAGAATATGTGAATTTTAGGTGTTCCCCAAAGCAATAATGAGCTAAAAAAATAGGAACAGGAGGAGAGAAGAAAATGAAAGTAGTTCATTAGTTAGTAAAGGGCAGAGTAAGAGACTTGGTTTATAGCTGATGAGCTCAACATGTCAACATGTCATGTTTACATGATAACATGACATGTCTTACATGTCAAAGTGATGGAAGAACCAGGTTGAGCCAAAAGGTAATGACTGTGAAAAAAATGGAAACAAAGTCCTTGTAAATAGGGAAGGGTAATGGGGGTGAAGGGAGGTTGAGGGGTATGGGGAAAAAACAAGAACCAAGATATATCTTTAAAGGTACAAGATTCCAATGATAAATGTGACTATTGTTTTCTTTAAATGTACCAACAATGGAAAAAACAAAAGCAAAAACAACAACAAAACAAAAGGTAATGACTGAAAGTACACGCCTTACTGAAAATTACCAAAATGAGTGTTTGAACATTCAACAAAAGCTGATCAGTTCACATAGTTTCTTTCTACCTAATTGGAATAAAAGTCAAAAGAAAAAGATTAGACAATGATACTAAGTACAAATGAAGCAGAAGCAGGACTTGCAGAATGGAATGCAGATAGCATTAGAATGAGTCAAATAGAGATAATGTAAAAATGGTAGAGTCCAGAATAGTCTTTAAAATCTATTTTGAGTTCTAAGTTGATATGGTAGACAGTTAAGGAAAAGAATAGAAGTTAGCTCTAAGTAACCTAATTAATAAATCACATTCCTTTGTTACTTTTTTTGAACTTTGATCCCTAGTGATTTATTTTCTACCATATATATAGTGTTACAAAAATTTGATCATACAGTTGTTTCTAAAGAGAACCTTAGCTCCACAATGTAAATAAAATACAAATTATACTCTCTGATCATATGCAATAAAACTATAGATAGTAACAAAAATCAATTAAATGTTCCTTCTACCTTCAAGTGTTTCCTGAGATTCCCATCTACCCCTAAATAAACATTATAGATTAACATCTTCATCCCAGGTTGTGTGTTTGAGAAAACTCAGCGTAAGACTTAAAAGTAGTACATAGAAGCAGGCTCTCAGTTAAGCGTTTGGGCTTGGATCACTTTCTGCTCTAGAGCCATTAAGTGGGTGGTAGTAGTATCTGCAGGCTGAGCTTTGCAGTGTCTGTCACTGTGGGACTTGTGTGGGATCCTAGTGGAAGAAGGTTCACTGCCTGAGGACAGCTCTAATTCTGCAAGGACTGGAGTATTTTAATGAGGGTTGTGAAGGTGGTAGACTACTGCTATTGGCAACATAAATAGAAAAAAAAAAATAAACCAAGACTCTGACTTATTAACTCATAGAGGTGTGTATGCAGATGGAAGGGATTCAGAATTCTGTTCCCTTGGGGTCTTTAGAAACTGTTTTTTCCAAGTTCAAACCTAATTGAAGTCAGATCTCAGCAGGGATTGTGCTGTGGAAGGAAAGGGATTATTTATGAAAAGAGCTAAAGACACAATGTCCCAGCAGGACCTGGAAGGATGTGTTACTAAACAAAGGAGAATTGAAGATGAGGATACAAAGGAAGTTGCCCATAAGGGAACTTTTTCCTATGGCTTGAAA